TCCCTATTTAAAAATCCAGATGAGCAAGGTTGGGCCGGTTGGTGACATGGCGGTGGTGCAGCACTCTCCGGTGTTAGACCCACATGGGTGGTCGTGTCCTGGGGCCTCTTTGTACACGTACCAGTGACCTGGGCTGGCTGGGGCTGGGCGTGGATTATGGTGTGGGGCCCTGTAGGAGGTGCTGTGTCTTTCTGTCTCTTCCTCTCTCACAGAAGAACTTAAAAAAAAAAAAAAAAAGATTAAGATCTTAGCCCACATTACATCTTAACGACTCTACTAGCTACATCTCTGTTAGAGTTTCCAGGAACCCTCGTCCCAGGATAAAACACACTTGGTTTGTCACCTCTTTCCAGTTCCAAGTTCACACGAAAGATTCGATTTCTGGACAGCCTGGGGGAGCTGGCCCACCTCATCTCCCTGGACCAAGTCCACATCCCTGACGCTGTCAGACAGTGAGTCCTGTGCTTAAGCATGAAGGCTTGGGGTGGGATGTACAAAGCCAGTCTCCACTTCCTTAAGGCCTTGGGGTCGATACGAAGGAAGTAAAAGACAGAGGCCCTGGTTCCAGGGAAAACTGCACACACCAGAGAAGAAATTAAGGCCACTATTGTATCCAACAAAGATAAAGGAAAAACTAGAGCATAACGAATAGCACGGAGGCGCCAAGGAATAAAGGCATAATCACAGCACGGAGGTTAGAAAAGGTTCAGATGGACCTGAACATTAGGAAGGGATTGTTTTAGCAGCAGGAAGACCATTCTATCCAGTGGGGGAGAGGGTGTGGGGAGCGAAGGGTGCTGAATGATGACTCAAGTGCCCAGTCTAGCGATTCAAGTCCTGCGGCTCCTCTCCCCACAGAGTAAACCGAGTTCTGCCCTAAACCACTGCGTTCTCTTTCTCTTTTTCTTTCCCTCCTCCCCCTGCTTCCTAGGCTGGACCAGGAACTCCATGGCTCAGGAGGGACCTAGCACAGGCTTGGCTGGATACAGAGCTTCAGAACCAAGCAGACAGTGATCTGCCTACACCCTAATCCCCAAAACATCTGAACTGTCCCGATATATCTCATCCTCAGCCGCCGTTCCACTGGGTCTTCAGTTCTCCATGGGATGCCATCCCTCAAGGTCCTGCCTTCAGGAGAGTCATGATGGCAAAATCATGACCCTTGCCATCCCTCAAAGACCCTGCCTTCAGAAGGGTCATGACTTTGAGGTTGGGATCCTGATCTGCTGGGTGACTTCCATTTCAGCTGGCCAGGGGGAAGGCTGAGTATAGTGGCATTTTGCAGGGGGAGTGCAGAGCCTTGGGTTTTAAACCTGCCTTAGCTGTAGAACCTTGGGCAAATGCTCCACCTAACGATGCCATCTCTCAGGGTCTTCTTTTCCTCCTCTGGGGGTGAAGGGATTGCGATCCTTTCTACGGGAGAAGGGTGGTATTTTAGCAGTCTGTGAAGGGCAAGGGGTGGATGGAAAGAGCCTGCCTGGTGCTAGCCCAGCATCTTGAAGATCTCCAAGAAGATACCGTTGTATGCTGGTCTCCTTCCGAGACAAGCCTGCCGCTGGTGCGCCCGGGGAGCGCTTTCCAAGCCTGTACTGTTGCCTTCTTCGCAAACTCCGGTCTGTAGTGGCTAATAAACGGTGATGAGAGATTTAAGCGCTGCCCCAGGTAGTGAACCGCTTTCCCCCAGCCCTTACATCACAATCCGCCTTTGGGTTCTGGCCCGGAGTTCTTGCTGCAGAGGTTCTCCGGGGATTTTCGCTGGGCCCCTGGGGCTGTGGGAGCGCCCCGCTGAGAGAGGACAGGACGTGGGGGAGGGGCGTGGCGCGTGCCCCAGCCCCCCCGCGGGCCTCGGTTCAAACGCCTGGGAGGTCGAGAGCCAGCTGAAGGGAGGGAGAAAAGCTAGGAGGCCCGGCCTCCATCACTGGCCTCCCTCCCAGCCCCAGCCACCAGCCCCGTGGCCCCCGCCGCCGGCGCGCTGCTGCTGTGGGCCCTGCTGCTCAGTTTGGGGCCCTGGGCGGCGGGGGCCCGAGGCCTGACCTCGACCCCGACACAGACCGGGATGCAGCGGGTCAGTTTCAGGTTCGGGGGCCCGGCCCGCAGGTCCCGCAGCACCGGCGCC